AGAACTAGTGTACATGTGATTTTCAACTAGTGTTTATAGTGTTTATAATGTATAGGCAAAAGTTACATTCCTTTTGTTGGAAAAATAATGTATAGTGTTTATGTATTCTTTTACAAGTTAACTTTGTGTACATGTGAATCATTGTATATGTGGATGTATTTTGACAAAACGTATGAAGGTTGTTCACTTTATTCGTGTATACGAACAAAAGTACATACACAATTTATGTACACATCCTCATCATCTAAATTATGTACACGACACACTCAATGTACTCGTGTACACTAACATTATGTACACAAACACGTTATCAATTAGTGGCAATTTTGTAATAATTTCATCTTCTTTATATTAGGGTTTTCTGTGTTTTCTCTCAAAGCCACCATTAATTTTTATCACCCAATCTTCATTATTTCTGTGTTTTTACCTTCAAAACTTACAAAACATTAAAACATACATCTCCGATGAACCCTCTAATGCATCTTTAACTGTCAACAAGAAATCAATTGTCCAGTAGGTGTTCACCCTTTCGCAAGGGAACCGATCCGTCGCGAACAGTCTTTCCGGTAAATCACCAGCCGGATTCTCTTTCTCCGCTGTCTCACCACCTATCGATTGAGAAACAAACAAATATTAGAACCCCCCAAAAATCAATTCTCTGCTAGAAAACAAAGAAAGAACGAGATTAATGGAGAAGAAAGGTAGGAGAGAGAAGATGATAGGTCCCACTAGTTAGAAAATGTAACGTTGGTTTGGTTTTAGTTGAGGGCACCAAAGTAAACAACCAAAATAAACTACCCTAGTAGCTCAAAGTGTCTTTTGTTGAAATAAAAAAGATGAATCTGCCTTACAATGAAAAATACTCTTTTATTATTGTAAGATTATTACTAGGAGGTTTTTGAGATTACACCCGGGGATATATTTCTATAATTTAATTACATTTTGCCTTTTGTATTTTTATTTGAAAAAGTAAACAAATATGATATATACTGGAACTGGTTTCAGAATTTTAAAAATGAAAGCAAATCAAAATTATTTGAAATAATTTTGATTTGTATTTTATTGAAATTTATATATAATATTAGTAAGAAAAGTTAACTAAATGCATTATGTATGACCTATAATATTCTTTTATCTCCATTATTTACTTTTACGTAAAACAACAGTTAAACGTATAACTATAATACTGTGTAATTTGTTTGGTTCTACAATTATAAAGTTTCCAGCCGATTAGTAAACCGATTCTTTATTTGGCTTATTCATTTTATTGTTTTTAGCTAAATTGAAAAATTTCATTTGTTGTTTGACTACTTGTTGATTACTTGTTGTGCAGTTTGAAATGGAGCTCACATATATGCTTTAGGTGTCGAAGTGGACGTCTTTTAATAGTGAGATGCGATTGGTTCATTGAAGTTAAAAGATCTTTTCATATTGTACACATATATAGCTTGAAGTTAACCTCTTGTGCTCTATAATGTATAATGTAAATGTGCACACTACAAAATATATACGTCGAAGTAAGAGGATATAAACCAATTGTAATCGTAGAGGAGTGTAAAAATACTTCTAAAATACTTGTATACTAGGTGTTGACCCGCGCCCTGCGCAGGGTGAGATTATTTTGACTTTGATCGAACAATAATTTGGTATATTAATTTGTTTAACTAAAAATAGGTAGTGGATGTGAATTAGTAATAAAAATCATATAGTCATATAATGAGATATTAGTATAGCTGCGAAACGAAGCATTGATTCATAGCTATTTGTTTTCACTTTTTGTCTTATATATGTATTTGTCTTATAGATACATGATGATACAAAAAAATTAAGAAATCGTCTACTAAAAATCCTCTTGTACCAGACAATCGAATTGCCCCACCAGTTCTCTTTTCACGGTTCCAGCTATCTTGTCTCCCTAGTAGCAAGAATATTAAATTAAATAAGTAAACTTCATATGTCAAAAAGAGAAATAGAATAAAACTCGATCATTTCTAAAAAATTTAACTTACTCTATCATCGAGGAAGAACATTTCGATAGTCTCCCCAGCAGCTGCAGAATACTCTTTCCAAAGGCGGACAATTTTCACTTGAACCTTCCATTGGTTCTTGAAAGGCTTCAACTCAGATATAAGGTTCATGGCGGCCATATAGAAGATGTGTAGGTTTATTCTTGCTTGTCTGAATATCGAATGGACCTTTAGAACTCGAGTTATATATGTTTAAATAGCATTTACATTTGCGATTTGCGCTTGTCTATCAAGGAAATTCCAATTTATGGCTATATCATTTAATTCAGAATATTATATATAGCTGATTGACATTCAAATGGAAAGAAACCATTAAACCGTTAACCTAATAAAAACATTCCGAGATTTAGTTGCTAAAATTATGTGACTGAAATATATTCATTCAATATTAGAAATATCTATGCATATTCGGTCATTAATTTTAGTTGACATTCAATATTCGAATACAATAACATCAATGGTTAGTGCATATAAGGGAAACTGAAATACGCATGCAGATTCGGTCATTAATGTTAATTGAAGTTGAAGATAATAGTATTTTGTACATCGAATATTGTCGAAATATTTTATAAAGTTAGATTTTATAAAATATAAAATATTATATTTAAAATTTAAATATATGCATAATTATGAAATAGAATATTAATTCAGAATATTATATATAGCTGATTGACATTCAAATGGAAAGAAACCATTAAACCGTTTACCTAATAAAAACATTCCGAGATTTAGTTGCTAAAATTATGTGACTGAAATAATATATGNATAGTATTTTGTACATCGAATATTGTCGAAATATTTTATAAAGTTCGATTTTATAAAATATAAAATATTATATTTAAAATTTAAATATATGCCTAATTATGAA